TTTTTTTTCAACCTTCTTCACTTTAATGATTTTTTTTTTTTTTTGTTTTTTTGAAATAATTTACACCTGTAGCTTCTACTCATAGAAGATGGACCAAAAAGTAATTAAAATTTTGAAAAAAGATTCTCTAAAGACCAAAAAAACAAAAAACAAAAAAATTACCTTTTTGGTTTTTATTTTTATCTTTAGTTTTTGTTTAAAGATTTTTTTAAAAAACATTTTATTTTTTGGTTTTTCTACACTAGACAGATCTAAAAAATAAAAAACTTCGAACAAATTTTAAAAAATAAATTACTAAAAACAAAAAAAAAAATAATAATAATAATAATGTGACTATTATTTTCTTTGTTTTTTGGTTCCCCCATAGATCATAAGCGTTGACTCTGATATTAGTTGTTAGGTGAGGGGATCAAAGAAACCCACAACGCACAACAATATCAACCTAATTGGTCGGAGAAAAACTCTAGAATCTACATGCTAATTTAAATATAAGCCATATATAAAAATTCTGACACTTTTCTGCATATTTTTTTCCTAGTTTTTTTTTATCTGGCTAAGCCATTTGATTGATTTGTTTGGGATTGTCTTTTCTATTGAATTTTTCTTTTTTCAACCTTCTTCATCTTTAATGATTTTTTTTTTTTTTTGAAATAATTTACACCTGTAGCTTCTACTCATAGAAGATGGACCAAAAAGTAATTAAAATTTTGAAAAAAGATTCTCTAAAGACCAAAAAAACAAAAAACAAAAAAATTACCTTTTTGGTTTTTTTATTTTTATCTTTAGTTTTTTGTTTAAAGATTTTTTTAAAAAACATTTTATTTTTTGGTTCTTCTACACTAGACAGATCTAAAAAATAAAAAACTTCGAACAAATTTGAAAAAATAAATTACTAAAAACAAAAGAACAAATAATAATAATAATAATGTGACTATTATTTTCTTTGTTTTCTGGTTCCCCCCATAGATCATAAGCCGTTGACTCTGATATTAGTTGTTAGGTGAGGGGATCAAAGAACCCACAACGGCACAACAATATCAACCTAATTGGTCGGAGAAAAACTCTAGAATCGACATGCTAAGTTTAAATATAAGCCATATATGAAAATTCTGAACACTTTTCTACATATTTTTTTCCTAATTTTTTTTTTCTGGCTAAGCCATTTGATTGATTTGTTTGGGATTGTCTTTTCTATTGAATTTTTCTTTTTTCAACCTTCTTCATCTTTAATGATTTTCTTTTTTTTTTTTTGAAATAATTTACACCTGTAGCTTCTACTCATAGAAGATGGACCAAAAAGTAATTAAAATTTTGAAAAAAGATTCTCTAAAGACCAAAAAAACAAAAAACAAAAAAATTACCTTTTTGGTTTTTTTATTTTTATCTTTAGTTTTTTGTTTAAAGATTTTTTTAAAAAACATTTTATTTTTTGGTTCTTCTACACTAGACAGATCTAAAAAATAAAAAACTTCGAACAAATTTGAAAAAATAAATTACTAAAAACAAAAAAACAAATAATAATAATAATAATGTGACTATTATTTTCTTTGTTTTCTGGTTTCGTCCCCATAGATCATAAGCCGTTGACTCTGATATTAGTTGTTAGGTGAGGGGATCAAAGAACCCACAACGGCACAACAATATCAACCTAATTGGTCGGAGAAAAACTCTAGAATCCACATGCTAATTTAAATATAAGCCATATATAAAAATTCTGAACACTTTTCTGCATTATTTTTTCCTAGTTTTTTTTTATCTGGCTAAGCCATTTGATTGATTTGTTTGGGATTGTCTTTTCTATTGAATTTTTCTTTTTTCAACCTTCTTCATCTTTAATGATTTTTTTTTTATATATAATTTACACCTGTAGCTTCTACTCATAGAAGATGGACCAAAAAGTAATTAAAATTTTGAAAAAAGATTCTCTAAAGACCAAAAAAACAAAAAACAAAAAAAATTACTTTTTTGGTTTTTTTATTTTTATCTTTAGTTTTTTGTGTAAAGATTTTTTTAAAAAACATTTTGTTTTTTGGTTCTTCTACACTAGACAGATCTAAAAAATAAAAACTTCGAACAAATTTGAAAAAATAAATTACTAAAAACAAAAGAACAAATAATAATAATAATAATGTGACTATTATTTTCTTTGTTTTCTGGTTCCCCCCATAGATCATAAGCCGTTGACTTTGATATTAGTTGTTAGGTGAGGGGATCAAACAACCCACACCGGCACAACAATATCAACCTAATTGGTCGGAGAAAAACTCTAGAATCCACATGCTAAGTTTAAATATAAGCCATATATGAAAATTCTGAACAGTTTTCTGCATATTTTTTTCCTAGTTTTTTTTTTTATCTGGCTAAGCCATTTGATTGATTTGTTTGGAATTGTCTTTTCTATTGAATTTTTCTTTTTTCAACCTTCTTCATCTTTAATGATTTTTTTTTTTTGTTTTTTTTTGAAATAATTTACACCTGTAGCTTCTACTCATAGAAGATGGACCAAAAAGTAATTAAAATTTTGAAAAAAGATTCTCTAAAGACCAAAAAAACAAAAAACAAAAAAATTACCTTTTTGGTTATTTTATTTTTATCTTTAGTTTTTTGTTTAAAGATTTTTTTAAAAAAACATTTTATTTTTTGGTTCTTCTACACTAGACAGATCTAAAAAATAAAAAACTTCGAACAAATTTGAAAAAATAAATTACTAAAAACAAAAAAACAAAAAATAATAATAATAATGTGACTATTATTTTCTTTGTTTTCTGGTTCCTCCCATAGATCATAAGCCGTTGACTCTGATATTAGTTGTTAGGTGAGGGGATCAAAGAACCCACAACGGCACAACAATATCAACCTAATTGGTCGGAGAAAAACTCTAGAATCCACATGCTAAGTTTAAATATAAGCCATATATGAAAATTCTGTACACTTTTCTGCATATTTTTTTCCTAGTTTTTTTTTATTTGGCTAAGCCATTTGATTGATTTGTTTGGGATTGTCTTTTCTATTGAATTTTTCTTTTTTCAACCTTCTTCATCTTTAATGATTTTCTTTTTTTTTTTTTGAAATAATTTACACCTGTAGCTTCTACTCATAGAAGATGGACCAAAAAGTAATTAAAATTCTGAAAAAAGATTCTCTAAGGACCAAAAAAACAAAAAACAAAAAAATTACCTTTTTGGTTTTTTTATTTTTATCTTTAGTTTTTTGTTTGAAGATTTTTTTAAAAAACATATTATTTTTTGGTTCTTCTACACTAGACAGATCTAAAAAATAAAAAACTTCGAACAAATTTGAAAAAATAAATTACTAAAAACAAAAAAACAAAAAATAATAATAATAATAATGTGACTATTATTTTCTTTTGGTATTTATTTTCAAATAGTTTGGTATTTATTTTCCCCCAGTTTGTAATTGTTGCATGCATACTCAATGTGGTATAATAGTGGTTGGAACAGTAATATATCTACCTTGTCACACGTCTTCCAGATTCAGATACTTTAATATTCCTTTTCCTTGTTATGGACAAATCACCTATGAAGTCAAGGAGAATTCTTAATAATAATAATGTGACTATTATTTTCTTTTGGTATTAAATTGCAAATAGTTTGGTATTTATTTTCCCCCAGTTTGTAATTGTTGCATGCATACTCAATGTGGTATAATATTGGTTGGAACTGTAATATATCTACCTATGAAGTCAAGGAGAATTCTTAGGTATTAAGGTTGCACAGTTAAATAGCTCCCTCAAGTAAAAAACAAATCGATGCTGTAAAGTCCATTTTTTCCCATAACTTTGATCAGAAATATGTCCAATGTGTAATCCTGTTAGCACACTTTTTTCACCCATAATTTTCACAAATATGGAAGTGGCTTACTCCACATCATCCAATATTATGAGCAACATTGACACTATCCTTTAATATGAAAAAAGTCACATCAATGTGTGAAAATCTAAAAAAGAAAAGCACACTATACTATACAAGCAAAATCAAATTTACAAACTCTATTATTAATTGATATGGTTAGCCGTGATGAAAATTTAAAACCTCAAACATGATCCATTATATAAATATAAGAGGATCTATTTGGAAATTAAGAAACCCCTTTGATAATATTACATCACTTCGGATGTGAGTAATCAATATTAATAAATTTTATTGTTTTATATAACATTACACAATTTTTTTTTCTTTGTTGTCAACTTGTGTGTAAAATTGAAATAGAAAATATTACACGAACAAATAACATTTACAACATATGTGAATAGATAATATTTGTAAAATTTACTAGTTTGTATAGGCATTAGACAACCTAAAATTATGTATGGAACAAATAGGCATTGCACTACGTCCAATATAAACATAATTTCGCGAGCCAACTAGAAAAAAATATTAGAAAGGAAAATAAAAGCACATTCAATTTTCTTGCCATATCCAAAAAAAATTTAAAAAAATAAAGAAATTATAGCTTTAGTGGAATGATTAATGAAGACTTCTATTAATCAAATTTCATAACATATCGTAATGTAACCATAACTTCAATAACTATATAGTCACCAACATCATGATCAGACTACAAATTAACCTCATTATTCATATGACAAACCCTATCATGACCACTTACAAGTACTAATAGATACTACCATTAATAACATGAATGAGCATGCTGAGGTGTTTTCTTCAATGAGGTAATCACACCGAATCTCATAATTACCCCCTATTCCCACCACAACCACCACCACAACCACAATTACCATAACATGGTGGCAATGTGACTGGCTTTTCATACCCATAGTAGTAGTGATAACGTGTACATGGTCCCCAGCCGTGACCTCGATAGCATGGTCCACAACATATCCCGGCTGGTTTATCCGCCAGCGGTGAGTGTCCCAGCACCACCGGTAAAAGAGCCAAAGCCAGAGGAGGCGGAGGAGGAGGCGGAGGAGGAGGAGGAGGCGGAGGCGGAGGCGGAGGTGGAGGCGGGGGAGGAGGCGGAGGAGGAGGCAGAGGATCAATGCTCATGATTATCTTCCAACCTTCCAACCACAACTTCTCACAAATCTTCTCCGGGCAGCAGCATTTTATGGTGATCGTCACCGTGTTGTTTTTTACATCATAAACCTGGTCTCGTATCTCTAATGTTGATAATACAAAATCAGTTTCTTATCTTCAAAATAATAGGCAAATTACATCATTTTTTATTTTTAATTTTAAATTTTATACCAATTTAGTCAAATTAATATTATTGTTAGTGTTTTTGAGATTGACTTACTGAGTTAAATAAATTTATAATTTTTCTCTTAAAAATATAACAGTCGCTACTTATGTATGTATTTTTCACCAAAACAAAAATACTAAAAATTATAATTAATTGAATAATAAAATTGAGGCAATATCACATATTTATGATCAAAATCAAGTCAATTAAAATTATTAAGACCAAAATAATACACAGACTAAAGTACAAGGACTATGGTTGTAATTTCCCAAAATAATAATTAAAAAAAATTAGCACTACAATATATAAGAGTTTTAGAGACTAAATTTTTTGTTTCTAAAAGTGAAAATTTTATTGTAAAAAATATTTATGGACCAATTTCTATTATTGTTAGGATAGTTGTTAAAAGGTCATACCGAAAAATAAAAAACAAGGTTTTTAGAGACAAAATTATAAAAATGTCACTAATAAATAGACTTTTTGGGGACAAAATAATTTCATCATAAATTGTTTATTTTTTTAGACAAAATTTGGTCCGGGATAATAATTCATTGCTAATGTCTAATTTTCGTTCCTAAAAATATAATGACATATTTCACAATAAAAATACTTAGTTCCTAAAAAATAATTTTGTTCCTAAATTTTGATATCTAAAATCTTAATTTTTTTGTAATGTAGAGATATCAAAAATATTGTATATGTATAATAAATTAATGTGTACGTATGTATATTTTATACATAAAGGTTTGGGGGCTCACGTGGAAATTTGCAAAGCACTTTCTTGATCTTCTTGTAGGAGCAAGGGCACTCAAGGTCGAGGTCAACCTTTACCACCATTTTCGTATCCTGTTCATGATGAAAAAATTTAATTAAAAAAAAAGAAGGTACCATATATTAAAGAAAGAAGAAAGTACATGAACAACACGGTTGGAAGAATAGAATTCTTTTGCTTTGTAATAAAGAAAAAAGAATCAGGTCCTGTCATTGCCATGAAAGATTTGGTGGGGAAGATGATGAAGAAAATGTAAAGCCAAACCAAACCCACACAAGATAATCAAGAACACAAAACTCAACAACAAAACCGATGGTAAAAATTAAATGGGTATGGAGGAGAGTGGTATTAACAAACCTTCTCGGCCATTTTGTAGTCTAGTCAGATCTGAATTCAGAGATGAATTTGTAGTTGTTAGGGATAAAACCAATAGTCTGCTTGGATTTGGTGATTTTAGGAGAAAAAATAAAATAAAATAAAATGGGCTCTTCCTCTTCCAATATATTCACCTCTTTGATAGTTCGGATATGAAAAATAGAAATGAATCAGAAATTTCAACGGAGAGAAATCTCTTCAAAAGTAAAGAGACTTTAAGGAATGAAGAAAAATGTCATAGGGCCCAAATTTTGTGAACCCCACACATATACGAAATTTTTGATCATTTATTTAATAAAAAATGTATCCCTAACATTACCCAAGAATGAGAGCTAATGTCGGTGGTTTACCGATTTCATCTTTAATTTTTTGAGATTTAGTCAAAATCTCCTCATAATAAAATTTTAATGCATTAAAGATAAGCATCAAAAAAAATTTAAAAGGTTTAACACATACTATTATTATCAAAATATTAAATTTTAAAATAATATAATTTTTTATCTAAATGTCGTTTTTTAATAAAAATTAGTATTTTTAGAATTTTATCATTAAGATCTATTAAATAAGATTCATATTGACTATGAAATTCTTAAAAAAATAAAATTATTAAATAAGATTCATATTGACTATGAAATTCTTAAAAAAATAAAATTATTAAATAAGATTCATATTGACTATGAAATTCTTAAAAAAATAAAATTATTAAATAAGATTCATATTGACTATGAAATTCTTAAAAAAATAAAATTATTAAATAAGATTCATATTGACTATGAAATTCTTAAAAAAATAAAATTATTAAATAAGATTCATATTGACTATGAAATTCTTAAAAAAATAAAATTATTAAATAAGATTCATATTGACTATGAAATTCTTAAAAAAATAAAATTATTAAATAAGATTCATATTGACTATGAAATTCTTAAAAAAATAAAATTATTAAATAAGATTCATATTGACTATGAAATTCTTAAAAAAATAAAATTATTAAATAAGATTCATATTGACTATGAAATTCTTAAAAAAATAAAATTATTAAATAAGATTCATATTGACTATGAAATTCTTAAAAAAATAAAATTATTAAATAAGATTCATATTGACTATGAAATTCTTAAAAAAATAAAATTATTAAATAAGATTCATATTGACTATGAAATTCTTAAAAAAATAAAATTATTAAATAAGATTCATATTGACTATGAAATTCTTAAAAAAATAAAATTATTAAATAAGATTCATATTGACTATGAAATTCTTAAAAAAATAAAATTATTAAATAAGATTCATATTGACTATGAAATTCTTAAAAAAATAAAATTATTAAATAAGATTCATATTGACTATGAAATTCTTAAAAAAATAAAATTATTAAATAAGATTCATATTGACTATGAAATTCTTAAAAAAATAAAATTATTAAATAAGATTCATATTGACTATGAAATTCTTAAAAAAATAAAATTATTAAATAAGATTCATATTGACTATGAAATTCTTAAAAAAATAAAATTATTACCATTGAAATTATTAAAGATTTTTAAAAACTTCATGTTTTAAATTTCTTTTCATG